GTCGTCGCATAATCTGGACGGCTCTCGTTGTCGCGAATCTGCTGTTAACACTGTAAGAGACACATAGCACAACGGTAAAGCATATGGGGGAGGAGAGTACCCTCGTCGCATCGCTTTGGCAGTTGTCAGAAGATATTATAGTAAGATCACTAGAAAGGGAATGAAATGCTGCATCATATGCTAGCAGAATCTCTTACATATCTTTGTTTCACGAGGTGTGGTGTACGTTTGAAAAAAGCAACATTACTTTCGGAACGACCTAGTATATGGATAGAGCGTAGAAAGCTCTATTGGATAACCACTCTCAGATTGAGCTCATTTTATTATCTTTATGAGAAAATAAATAATATGTCACCTGATACCGAATGCTATTTCTTTTGCTCTAAGGCGTTGGGACCACAAGGCTCTCGTGGATTTGATGACAATCCCTTCACCCATCGCTGGTAAATAGATTTTTGGTAGGATCATTTGTTCTGCGAAGCTGCTCAAAGTTCAAGTTTACTTGGAGTGATGAGCTTTGAATCCAAGCGCTTAAGAAATAACGTCATGTGACAGTGCCTATCCAAAAATTTCGATTAAAAGTGTTATGTACTAATAAGTGTATAACTTGGACTTCTGATTAGGTAATCTGTTTGAGAAACCTGCATTTATTTTTAGATGCGTCATTACTTTTGGATCACCTAATATTTCTGTTTTTGGAAAAATTGCTCATTGACTATCATTCCATTCGCATTTGTACTATCAATATGTGTCTACACAAGATAAGCTGATTACATCCATAACGACGAAACTTGAAAACAGTTGTGACCGCTTGAAAGCAGTTTAAACGAAAATTTTCTTCTCTAATTGGTTTTCTTCCCTTTTATGTTATCAGAACAGTCGAGTATGCTCTTGGAAGGTCTTGCTGCTGCCACACCTTTTTACTGCATCAAAAAACATAAAGTTTGGAAAGTTATAGTTCGCGTAAGCTACACTTTGCAAAGCCGAATTATTTTGATGGTATTTTTTTGACTCAGCGTTTTGATTGTGTCGTCATTCTCAGAGCCTAAAAATAGATTGCAGTTTTTTATCTACAAAATCAAGAAATGCCTCATCCAGACGCCTCCTCGCCCAGACTTTCCTCTTTGCATAACATATTCTCAAACATATCATCATAACACCGCAACAGCCTGGACTTGGCATAAACTTCGTAAGAAAAGTCAGCTAAAAATGCTCACTTTTATAAAAGATAACTAGAAATAGCAAATAGTTTATTATTGTCCCATAAGTATCTTCATATTTGACTATTCCCGAAATATAGGCTGCTGCATGATGAAGGCGCCAATACGTTTGCGCGCGAACGCAGCTCTACTAGTCGCAGAGCGCCTTAAACGCAACATTTGCAATGTGAAGATACGAGCGTCGCGTCCGCACCCGCTCAACTAGTACTGCTTCTGCAAATTTGTCATGCAGTAGCCTTTAATGGCACAGTCCACCCTAAGTTGAGGGTGTTGAGCTTTTAACAGCATATAATAATAGGTCCCTTATCAATCAAATGCCCAAGTCGCGGCGCAAAATTCCGCTTCGGAAGCGAGAAAATCGCTTCGGAATAGCGAAAATGCACGAGGACCCCCATCCATGCCCGCCCTCCCCCATCCATGCCCTCCCACTAGTGCGCGCCCACCCAATCACCGTTCCGGAAAGCCGGCTTGTGGGTTCTCCGGAACAGAGATTGTTGGGGTTTTCGCATATTCTCAACTTCATATTCGGAATCAGGGACATGAGAAGGCCCTGAAACGACAAAAACGTGAAAGTCGAAAATCTGGGTGGACGGTGCCTTTAAGTACCCTAATTTCACGCGTACAAGGCGCGGGGGAAATTTTTCAAAAATCGACGAGCCCAACCACGCCGAAGGACTTCGTAACCAAAAGATCCTATGCCGTGCTGTATATTGCTTAAAAGAATCGTACGGCATAAAAATCGCGTTCCGACATACAGTGAAGCGGCTGAGCGGCTCATTTGAAAAATCGAAAAAGGTGCGCCTTGTACGCGTGAAATTAGGGTACTAGGTTGTCCGAAAGTTTGCTCTCACTATTTCGAAAGATTCATAACTTTTACCTTGTGCAACCTATTTGAAGAAGGTTTTCATTTTAAGTAAGTCATGCTCTTCGCAATATCTTAGAGGCTCACTAATGACCATCTATCACATAAATATTAGGTCGTTCCGAAAGTAATGTCGCTTTTTTTGAATGAACGCCAATATTCGTGGAATCAACATTTTCAAGAGATCTTAGAAGCATTCGATGCAGCACTTCATCCTCTTTCTGCTGGTTCTAATTTGGCTGCACAGTGTTTGATGAGCTCTTGAAAAATTACCAAAATCTGCGACTCATGCTTTTTGCCATTGTCAAGTTCGGCTATTTTTCTAAATCTTTGTACCTATTCTCCGAAGATGTGCAAGTGACAGTTAGATAAAGCAAACCTTATAGGACACAGGGTAATTTTTCCTTCTCCTTAGCCTGCTTTTTAGAGTTACTGGAATCAATTTTTCAATGCTATCAAATTGCATATTTGGTCAACTCAAACCACACAGAACAACAACCGGCAAGCAACTCGGGTGTCATTCGACGCAGCTTTTTCTCCTCTTTCTATTAGTTGTTTTTGTTACCGATTCATCAAGTTTTCCGGGATAAAATCATCATAATTAAACTTTTCCAAGGCACCTCAAGGTGTACCCGAAATTTTCGAAAGTTGCTAAACCGAAGCGGTGAATGCTCGTTTGGTTTGTAAAATTAGTGTAAAACCATAATCCATTTTTGTAAGTTTCAAAATCCGACGATTTCTTGGTGTTTGATGCATTTGTGTCTAAGACGAGCCTGCTATAATTAGGTGGTTCCATCAAAAAATCTGTACAAAAATTATGACGAGCTCTGGAAAGTAGAAAAAAGTTGTGCTGTTTCCTGTAGGGTTTGCTCTACCCACCCATAACTTGGACTCCTTTTGAGATTTGTTATAAAATTTTAAAAAAATTGTGAAACTTGGCCATCTCAAATAGCATAGGTCGCAGATTTTGACTCTTTTCTGAAAGCTCATTGACCGTATTGCAACAACTTCATAACCATTAGAAAGAGAATGAAATGCTGCATCAAATGCTACCAGAATCTCCTACACTTCTTTGTTCCACGAGATGTGGCATACGTTTGAAAAAAAGCGACATTACTTTCGGAACGACCTAATAAGACTGGTAGAATAAAATCACTCAATTTTGATTTTCCTGCGGATCGTAAAAAAAACTGAAACTTACAATAAATCGAAACATTCGGTATTATTGGTTCTGTGACCTGCTCTATCTATCTGAGCAAAAATTGCTATGATTGAGCTTTCATAGAAAAAATTATGTTTCGAGTATGCAAGATAAAACGGCAATTTTGATTTTTTGGCATGTTTCTCGAAAATCATAAAGCCTTCGATCGACATCGATTTTACCAATTTTCTTTTACCGATTTTTTGCTAAATTTGAGCTACGGAGCTGGGAGTGGTACGGGTGGGGGGGGGGGCAGTAAGGAGCGTGTTGATTACGAAAAGATAATGAAGTGTGGGGGAAGGGGCAGGGAAATGTGCGAAAAATCAGAAATGATAACTATCACAATGTATTGAACGAGCGAGCTGAACCGGGTATGACTGCTAGTATCTTTATAAAGAGTGTAACTTACTTTCCAATTGAAAATAAGTTAGACAGATCGTTTGGAAAAATTAGATGTTATGAAATTTTAAAAATGGTGCGAACTGGTGGAATAACTTAATAATTTCTTCAGAAATTCTCGTAAGATTTGGGGTGTAGATAGGGTAAAAGTGGCGACTGGCAAACATGGTTATCCTCGGCTATTCGAGGGTATGATATTAGCGTATGATGGTGCGGTCATAACTGGTTCCATAATTTGATCTAAGTTGTGATGTTTGCGTAGGCAAACGCTTTTGACTTTTCTGTGGGAAACGGCCCCTTTGATCCGCTCGTTATTACAGCGCACCTCTGATTGGTCAACATGTCCATTACCATTGACAAGGCTATGAGTAGGAAGGAGCATCATTTTTCTACATCTTTCGTGTTCAACATGATGAGAGGTTTTGGCACAGGTATACTACATGCTTCAAACTAAGAATTTTCCCCATTAACTGTGATTGGACTTGTTAGCTTTGCCAGCGGCGCGGCCAAGTGGGCATCGCGCGCGAAGGGTTTAAAAGGACACCCCTTTTCTGTTTGTGGTAGGACCTCCGGAGGATAGTTGACATTTTCACTTTTTAGTTACTGAAAAAAGCAAACAAATAAAAATTAGATAAAACTTATAGCAATATTGTTGAGGCTTAGCTACTGCACATAAAAGTCACTCATGCCAAGACTTACAAAAAGCCAAGTACGGATTAGGCGGCGTGGCAGGAGTTCCCAAAGCCTAGCCGCTTTTCCTTGCATGGGTACTTGGAACCTCCAGAAATTCCTTAGAGGACATCACATCTTCTCGGGGGCAAAGGGCGGCTCCGCCCATCATTCCTCCTTCTAGGTGCCCTCATTATCAATTGTGTACACACACTGTAACACGTTGTAAGGATAATAGATGATGACCAGAAATTTACGACTGATCAACTAGATTCTCTGATATATCGAATGACCGAGTTGTCTGTACAAAAAATTCTGTGCAATTTATCTCTTTTGAGAATAATGTTCAAGTGCTCATTTTTGAAAGAATGGCGTACCAGAAGTTTACAAGCCCCCTTGAAAAATGATAACTATGTTCTTTGTTTTCTGCCCATCCTTTCTCTCTTATTACTTCAATACTGACTATGCTCTCGCTGATTGCACACCTCACAATGAGACCAGTAAATGGGTGGAGCAATGGGCGTGGTCCGACCTGTGAAGCGTGGAGGTGCTAAATCCCTCCTGGATGCGAATGCTGGTGCGAGCTTGGTGCGAGGAGAGGTGCTAGGAACTCCTGCACGCCTCCCTACGGATTAAGGGGTAAAAACTTGGATGAACCTTTATTCCCATATTCGAAAATCCACGAATGTTCAACCAAAAAGTCTACCGAACGGATTACGATCCCCTACGGGAACGCTACATCTCTGCTCACAAGAACTTGGATTACTCTGAAAATAACCGCTGTGAACTCAAATCTGCTTTTAGTAATCTAATACTCACGTTACGGCAATATAACCAGCACTTAGTATGTCTCGCTCTCTTGACACGGTGACCTTCCGCGGCCTTAGGCGGTACAGCGATTTCACCTTTTGCTGCAACAGACATTTCAATCATAAATCGAGAAGCTACTATTTGTATAATTTGCTCAACTCACCCTCAACCTGCCCAGATGTAGCGACGGCGATAGGTACACAATAATTTTGTTGAAACACAGCTATGGAGAGTATGAGCAGAGTGAGTATGACTTCCATTTTTACTCTGCAAATATAATTCAAAAGCTACATTTCACTGCATAAGATTTACGCAAAATTTGAAGAATTCACAATTTCTCTGTTAACAGTGAACCTTCTATAAAATGAAAATGTGCCCAAAAGGGCGTCGAAAATTTTGAGTTGAGATTTACGAAAAGTTCTAGAAGAATGAACTGCTTTATAGGGCACCGCTGAAGCAAAAAGCATACGCAATTTCATCACGTTTTATGACATCATAATCAGGTTTGTGATTCATTAACTCTATCATCAACGACCTTATTTTTGAGATTCGATGGATTGCACGTGTTTCCATAAGCAAAACCAAATCAGCCCGATAAGAAAAAGGGTGAAAAATGGGTGCATAGGTACACAATCTTTCAATGAAACGAAAACAGCTGAAACCGGTTCACATTTGCAATGAATGAATTCGACGCATCCTCAAGCATCGACGCCTCTTGTACCATTAGTTTAGAGCCTATAGATAAATATCCATCAACAGAATCACGAGGTTTTGTGTATTGCACCTTTACGTTGTTCATTTCTTCTACAATGTCAGCGACACTGATGACAAAAGAAAGGAAAAGGCAGAAACGATAGAAGGCAAACGATGTAGACAGCTACCTTTCAACACAGCGCATTCTGCGAAAAGGGAACCAAAAAGTTGCAACATGATGGTAAAAGAGAATACAGAGCAGCGGTAGGTTGCCAGAAACAAATGCATGACCATGATTGTGAATTTCTAATCAAGGTTTTATGCATCAAGTAGCACATATAGTTGATTCGTTGACCGCGCGGATGGACATCACTGCGGCACGCTCCGAGAGGTAAAACGCTTCCCAGAGTAATTCGCCTTTGTACAAACCGTGCTCTCGCGACAATTCAGCCGCGCCGCCCTTAATCCGCAGGGCTTGAGCAGTCCGTGCGGTCAACAAATCGACGATATCGTCCATTCACCCAATCTGAGAGAAGTGATCTCTCGCTATCAAAACCGCGCCGCTTTAGATGTGCAACGCCTGTGCTCGCTACAATCGTGTGAACAGGCGATACCTAGCGTGTAAACTACAAATTTGGTACATTCTTATTCTGAACTTTGTAGACTACAGAGTACCGCCAAGTATGTTAATCTACAAGTAGGAAAATCTTCGATCCTTCATTCTGTCAAGCGTGGCGGCGTCCATTCATAAAGGCACAATCCAACCAAATTCAGGTCAATGAGATTTCGGGCTATATAATAGCTGGCTCCAACTAATCGCCCAAGCCTTGCTGCAAAAGATAAATTTCAATGAGAGAAGAGCTCGAGAATGTGAAAGCAGTCACGGTGGCTCCGCCCATCAACATGGGTGGCCTGAAGATAACAAGTCCAATTTTGGGCATTAATGTATCCAAATTTGTCATAACTGGTTCTTCATTATGACTCTCATATTTGCGACCCTTTTATTTACGAAGCCTGATTTTTTTTGTATCTTCAGATCGCCCACATTGCTGGGCCCAGCGCAACCGCTTCCACTTTCTGGAGCGGTATTCCCGCTTCGCAATTCATCTTTTGCAGTGAGACTTGGGCACCTGCTTAATCAAGGGCCCCGCTATTTTGGAACATTACAATCTCATCATACTGGGTTTGGGTGGACGGCGCCTACATGCATGCGCGTAAGGACGTAAAGCGATTTACGGATACGCCACTACGCATTTTGCTGAAATCAGGCTGTTCTCTAGTTCAGCCAGCTGGTTCGCCAACCACGAAACGCGTGATTTGTGCACCACTCAAAATCTTGAGTAGATCCTCTGGTAGCTTTGACAAATAAGGCCAGTGAAACCTTTCAGACAATTGCTATAGAAAGTGACTTCTAATTAGAATCATATATCATTGAATCCCTAAAATTCTCACTCAAACCAATGTTACTTTGAACGCTATGCTTACGTTCGAGGAAAACGCTTTGCACTTCTCTACTCCACTTTATTGTGTAAATTTTGCGGTGGGGCTACTTTAGTGCCGAGAATTCAGTCGATAAACCTTGATAATCAAAAAAATATAGTTGTAGCTATACTTAATATAGCTATTTTTCGAATTGATTCATAAGATTAAGTTACGCTAAAAATCGTTGGTGTCCGAACTTCTTTTGGACTCTGATCTATCCGAGACAGCTTATCGAAGTCAACATAATGCTAATCATTTTTGGAGTTGTTTTGTAGTCTGTAGCTATAATTTTTTGCGATATCCGTAATTCCTATGTAACGATGCAAATTCAAGTGGTCATAATTTCTTCGAAATTGGCATAACGAATATGGAAAGCAGTTTTAAAATCAGCGTCCTTTATTGAGTGGAACGCTCCAAATTTGCCTCCACTGCTTACAATTCAACAGATTGATCCTGGTTTGGTTGGTTACCCACAGCAAAGATGAGCAGGTGTCTCAAAAAAAACCATGTACACTTTTGATTTTCATCAACTCTTGCACTGATATCTTTTGGCGAACTGCCGCTGTGTAGAGCGAGGTTTAACTTAAATTTACAGTGTAGTGCGAATCAGCGATCGCTCTTCATCACTGTAGGAATTACGGTGAAACTCCGGTCAGGATTTTGAGCCATTGCGAGCCATACTTTGCTCCAAAAAATCTAACAAGCTAAAAACTCTTATGCGGGCTAATAAGGTCGCTGTTTCAACCATAAGATTTGCACTTTGCTATATCGCCACTTTCATAAGGTAAGCGAGAAAATTGTGACAAGTGCTTTTCTAATGTTTGTCACAAATGTGTTTACAACCGTTGAAAAGGTACAAAAAGTTGTGAAAAGTTGTGTAGTAAAATCAGAATGCGCGAAACCCCTTCCACAAAGTTTCTAGATTTTTTGGAAAAAAATTGGACAGCCTTGTTTACAGTGGTTCTATATACTGAAAGTTCTTACCGTAAACCCTACAGTAATGATCGCTGGTTTGCTCTATATTGCTAAGTTGAACCTCGCTCTACACAAGAATACCTGAAGTTCGCCGAAAGACATTGATGCAAGAGAGGTATTAACGATCAAAGAGTGTGCACATTTTTTGAGAACCCTGTTTAAGTGCGATTAGGACATCGAATTAGGACATTACCCTGAGAAAACCAAAGCAGGCATTAAGAACATGGCCACAAACAGTCATGTTGATAGGTGATGAAGTGCTGTTAATGAAACTCTGGTCTTGTAAACGTTATGACTATGTGAAACTTAGCCGTCCAGTCAGAGCAAAGTGGTACAAAATGATTTGGAAGGCATTTATCGAAATCTCCAAAATTGATTTGCACTTTGCATATAACTCTAAAGGGTACCATCTCCAGGGTGCCCTGATTCCACGTGTAAAAAAGTAGCTCTTAGAAAACGAATAAGTGCGCAGTCAAGTTCCTATATTCTTCTCAAGCATTACGAATCTCTCATCTACCAAGCAACACTTTTGTCATGTTTCCTCAAAGCTCTACAAAACATAGTGAAGACGAATGAATTAAAGCAAATCAAAATTATTGTCCTCGGACGGAACCTTTCAACTTCTCATTGAAAACTGTACAAACACTGTACTAATAAACATTTATTGAGCGCTGTCAGAGATACGTCGAACCAAAAAAAGCTTGTTTGGTGAGAAATGTTCAAATTCAGTTTGTATTCGGTCAAAGTCGACCGATATGTATCTACTTTGTAATATCAGGTTGATGCAAAATTAATGCGCGTTTTTAAGATGTTCTTTGACAACTATTTTCCGTCAAAAATTTAACAATCAAAGTGACAGGACATCTCTGTTTAAAACGTAATCTGCACATCATACGAAAGACTCATTCATGCCCTTCATTGCCTGAAATTTTACATAATCTCAAACATTTCCACTCAAAACCGAAATTGTAGTGCATTCATTTTTATGTTTAACATTTCAACGCAAATAAACACAATTTTCTCATAAAAGGTAGTTGCTGTATGCAGCAGATTTCTCTATACATTGCACGCTCAATCATGTTTCTAGAAATTAATTAGAATGAGGAATTGACAAGTGGCGGCCGTGGGCACTCTAAGGGCCAAAAATTTTCTTCGAAATATGCAATAACCAAAACCTTGATTGATTGTGCAAGCGTAACGGTAGGGAATCTTTGGTAACACATTCCGCAAAAAAAACTGGCAAATTAGTGCAGGAAGACATGCAAATCTATTAGGTTGTCCGGAAATTAATGCCCGTTTTGAATTTGAACCGCAATAAGTCATACACTTCTCAATTCTAAATAGATTGCAAATACCATTCGATAGAGCAAAGCAAGCTCTACAGGAAGGCCGTCTTGCTTTTGCGACAGCTATCATCCACCTCGAGTTTCGAGCCAAAAACTAAAAAGACTCAGCAACCCGAAAAATCGAAAAAAAATCGTAACTCCGTCCACAAAAATCCTACAAAAATTCTTACTTGCTCATTTAAACACTATCCACATAAAACATCTATATACGCCTTTGCTGTATTTTTCCCTCTGTTAGAAATCAAGAAAACGGAAATTTTCGTGCATTTGCCAAAGTGATGCTGTGCCGTCCCCACATAGGTAGTTGTATACCATAAGCCTGTAGAAGTGCAGACTTAAATTTTCAGCTTTCTACTAGGCTGTTGCATAAGTTCTGTCCGATTTGAATTTTTGAGTTTAAAATGTCATAACTTCTTTCAGAGTCAACTTTTTTCCAAGGTCTTAGTTTCTATGTGTTGAGCAGTCCCTTGGCTAAAAAATGCATATTGAGATCTGCGCAAATCTTTGTTAAGGAAGAACCAAGAATGCAAAAACTTCGCAGCGTTTTTCTTCGAATCTGTCTTTTTTGACATGGTAACGCTCCCTTATGAAAATTGATAGGCATCTTTTCTAATAATGGATGGATAGAGAAATTTTCGTAGATTATTATGCAACATAAAAGAGCCCATAGGGTTTGCGCTGCCGAGAGATTTTTTTGACCGAACAAAAAATTAGCCACTTTTTGACCTCGCTTCAGCACATGTGTGCATGCCTATTTATGAACTACGAACGTT